CGACCAGAGGGATGTATTGTTGAAGAAGCGATTGAGTTTTGTACTGAATATTTGTCTAATGTTCAAAAAGTTGTTGAAAAAAAGTAGGAAAACAATTAATTGGAAATAAAGTTGTGACACTTTCAAGGGCTGAACGGGAGCAAATGCATTTGTATGTTCTGCACAATGACATTGAGGTTGAGCCTTATGTTGAAATGCACAAGGACGTTGTCTGAGGTTTAAATCCGAATAGAAATGATAATTGGATAGTACGAGAGCACAATCGAAGTTTTATACCATGGTTCAAGGATCATATTTATTCAAAGTCTTATTCTGATCTCGCTTCAATATCAAAAAGGTTGAGATGTTTAGCATATGGTCCAAAGGTTTTCTTATAGCGCATACGCAATTAATGGATACACATTTTATACCAAAGAACAAGATGGTAAAAGTACAATGCAAAATAGTGGTGTCGCTGTGCTAGCTGAAGCAATGCACATTTCAAGTGTGAAGGACTTAAACCCCAAATATGCAAATTTGTCATATTTTGGGGGTTATTAAGCGCATTTGAGTGTTTGATTATGAGAAGTTTTAGATTCCTATCTTTGGATGCAAGTGGGTTAAAAATAATAGTGGCATACAAATGGATAAGTCAGGATTTTTGCAAGTGGATCTTAATAAGGTGGGGTACCAAGATGAGCCTTTTATTCTAGCCACGTAAGTTAAACAAGTGTTCTATGTCACTGATCCGACAAGTACGAAATGGTCTACAATGCTTTTTCTAACAAAGTAATTGATGATAACATTGGAGATTAAGGTGATATTGATGTTGAGAAGGAATCTCATATTATAGATGATCAAGATGAGAATATTAGAACGGATGAATCATATATTAGAGATTATCATAATAAGGGAATTTGGATCAATCCATTCACCGTGTTGTTAAGAGACAAGTAAACCACATTCCAACGAAGAAAAGAAAGAGATGTTAGTGAAAAAGGTACTAGTAATATTATATATTATGTCATTCAATAAAATTATATATTTGTCATTCAATAAAATTATATATATTTTTCTTATTTATGTATTTATTTTCATATATATTTGTCATTTATTTCATAAGTTTGTTTTTCTGAATTACAGGTATTATGGCTAGCAACAGCCAAAATTCACATGATACTTCTAAAAATGAGGGAAACGAACTAGTACATGATTTGGAAGGAGATATTACAAGAGAAATAATGATTATGAAGAGAATCATTTGTGCGAGAGATAAAGGTATAAAATATGATGTGCATTGGAATGAAACTGACCAATTAATTGAGCCTAACAGTGCGATATTGACAAGTTACATTGGGACACTTGTTCGTTCATAAATTCCAATCACTTGTGATAATTGGAGAATTCGATCGTTGAAACCCGCTAAAGAAAAAATAAGGAGTGAGATACAGGTATCATATCTGATATTATTTATTTTTGTTGACGGTTATGTCTTTAAATTACTTATACTAACATATTATATGTATGTTAATTTGTTTGCAAAGGTCTTTTAATATTGGTGACGGCCAGAAAAAATATTGTCTTCAATTGGCCGGAAAAAGACTCAGAGGATTTCAAGCATTTTTAACGAACAAGTTTCTTAAAGATTCTGATAGAAAATTTGTTGAATCAGAGCGTCCAAAGAAGTATGCAGATTTTATTTCACTTGAAGAATGAGAAACTTTTGTTGCCAAGTGAAGAACCCAAGAATTCCATGTAATTCTAACTTATCATGAACAATGTATAATATATATACTTCTTCCACATGAGTTCTGATATGACTTAAACTTTTTTTTTAGGCTGTAAGTGACATAAATCGGCAATGAGTATCAAAACCCGCGTATCCATACAAATAAGGGCGTTTGGGATATGCACGCTTACAACAAAAAGTAGTAAGTATATATAAATGCTTTAATATGATATAGTTAGAATATGAGAAAATTGAAGCTTATTATATGTCTTAATGTGTAGTTAGAAGAGGAGAAAAGTGATGCAACATCTCTTCCAGACCATGTTTTATGGAAGGCTGCTCATGTGGGTAGAGATGGAGTTGTTCAGAAAGATGTTCAACAAGTTTTTTAGCAATGTGTAAGTATAACATTAGTTCTATCATAAAGTCAAAAGTTTAGTAACATATAATATATTTATGCTTTTTAATCCCCACTAATATTTTTCTATATTTCAGAAGAGTTTATCCCAGTCTATAATTGCAGCTGAAGCCCATGATTGCAGGAGCGTACTAAGTTGAGTATTAAATGTTCCTGAGTATTCTGGTCGTGTGAGGGGTAAGGGGTTTGGTGTCACTCCAACAACATTGTATAAGCATCCAAAGAATAAAAATTCTAGAAATAAACAAGTGATGAAGTATTTGGAAGAATTGAAAGCTCAAATTCGTGAATTGCAAAAGGACAAAAGAGAGATACATGTTAGAAAGGCGCAGTCCAGAGTTTAAAGATACTAGTGACAAAGATAGTATCAATTGTAATTTTCAGTAGAAACTTCCCGGGGTAACTATATATATTACATTGAAATTAATTCAGCATAATTTTCTTAATTGATATATATATACACATTAATCATATTCATTATTGGTTTAGAACATTTCACTTTGTCAGCTCTATTTATTGTCATCGACTTATCGCATGGTTGGCAAGGGAAAAATGTATAACACTTTGGGAGACTTACTTCACCATAAACCGCTCCCAGTTGGATTTTTGAAAGTATCGATTGATATTGCTTTAGAGGGGGTGTGTTATTGCCTATACCAGACGATGTTTCAAATGCAATATTGGTGGGAGACGCAATAGGATCGTATGTTGCATGGTCGTCAAATCTCATTTTCATAGATGATGAGGTACGTTGAACACCATTATGAATCTTTTAGTATTCAAATGTTTTATGAACCATACATGTAAGTTATTCTTACATTTACGTACCATTTATTTTACATGATAATCTTAGACTTCTACAAAATCCAAATCAAAAGATAAGGGGATTGTGCGGGAAACCGAGTCAGCTGCATCAAAAACACAGTTACATTAATTGATATATTTGCATAGAAAATGTCAATTATATCCTCAGATTTCAATAGCTTTATGATCTTATACATTAATTACCTAACTTATATGATTTTTAGATTCATGCTCAAGAGTTACAACAAGTCAACAAGGGTAAGATGCCTGAATCTAGCAAGGTGTCCAACAAAAAAAAGGTCGAGCCTAAAAAAACATATGTTTCTCGATTTAGGTTGTGCCTTGAAACATATGTAGGAACAACATATGTGGTGGAGGGTGACATTCGTCAAATACCTATGAAAAAAGGTATTTTCGGTTTTGCTTATGTCGAAACAATTGTTAAAGAGGATTTGAATTAAATTTTCCAACATTCTGATAAAAGAAATAGTGTATTATCTGGATTCATTGGATGTTGATCAAACAGAATATCCAGATATGAAGAAGATGGTTAATACATAAGTGATGAGATTGTTCTGAATAATTCGTGTATATCTATATTTATGAGATTGTTCTAAATATTCGTTTATATTATGTTAGAGCTATACAAATATTTTGATCACAAAGACAAACAAGAGTATCAAAGAGTAAGGCTAACAATATTAAATGGATTAGAGTGCAGGTATATTTTCACAATTTTGATTGTTATAGTGATGCTACTTGATAAAACTAGTTAAACTATATATCCGGATATATATTCGTATTTGTTTTTTCATGTGCAATGTCCTCGTCAGCAGAATGATATTGATTGCGGTTATTTTATATTGAGGTTTATGAAGAAAATTATTCATTCGGGTCAAATAGAGATTCCAAACATGGTATGGATTTATAAGTTATATGATTTATTTTAATATTTAACCGATATTTCATCTGAGTAATTAGTTTTAACTAAATCATGTATATTATTTTATATTATGTAGTACTTTGATTAATTCAAGTGTGATACTTACTCGAAAGATAAATTGGAAGAAATTAAGGAAGAATGATGTCAATACATTTTTGAGATGAGAATTGTATAAGGTATATTGTCTTTCTGTCTTTTGATCGGAGTTTATGGTCTTTAGAGATTTGTGTTGTTGTGATATTCTGTACATACTACTGGATAATTATAGTTCTGGAAGTCATATATAATTTTGGAATTTGTTGATATACTTCTAGAAGTTGTTGTGAGGATTCGGAAATATGGAATTTGTAATTATATGTATACTGAATATATTTGTGAAGTTATCGATTTTGAAATATATTTTAGAATTATGAATCGTTTCTATTGAATATATATATATATATATATATATATATATATATATATATATATATATATATATATATATATATATATATATATATATATATATATATATATATATATATATATATATATATATATATATATATATATATATATATATATATATATATATATATATATATATATATATATATATATATATATATATATATATATATATATATATATATATTTCCTATTTACCCTTTAAAAAAAATTCAATTAAAACCAAATAGATATATGTACGTGGTGTATCTGTGCATGCAAGAATGTATGGTCTCTATAAGTTTGCACACGTGATTGTAAATTGGCATTAAGTTAAAGAAAGACACAATTCAGTTCCAATAATTAAGCAACTTACATGCAATGCAATGCTCCAATTCACACAACTCCAATAAACCCAAAAAATACGATATGCATTCATTGCAGAAATTTAAGTATGACAAGCACAATCATAAAACGAAGGTTCTCCAAATTTTATTAAGATTAAAAAATACAAAGTCTGTAAATAAGGCAAACAAGCTTACCCCATTATTGAAAGGACATACATATCTTACTTATAATCCATATTTGGATTCATGATAATTTAGCAAAATCATGTTGTCACCGTAACAATAACTAAAATAAAAACAACACAGTAGTAACTTAAGTACTTGTAAGGATTTAACCTATAACATGAAATTCTAAGAGCATTGGAAACCAGAAGGAACAGATTTTTCACAAGCACTGAGTAGAAGACTGAGTGTGACAGGAACGTTCAAGTTGATACCAAGAACATTAGCCTTAATAGCAGTGCAAAGACAAATTGCTGCATCCAAATCAGCCAAACCTTGAATCAATGCACAACACTTGCTTGAAGCAGGACTTCCAACCACAACATTAACAAGTCCAAGAAGATCAGCACAAACACCTAGCTTTAATGTATCCTTTGGACATTTTTGTGATGATGAAGGAGTAGGAGGACTAGCCGTAGGTGGTGGTGTTGTAGAAGGTGGAGTACTAGGCTTTGGTGGTGTAGGTGGTGGTGTTGTAGCAGGTGGAGGACAAGGCTTAGGTGTTTTGGAAGGTGGTGGAGGACTAGGCTTAGGGGTTGGATTGCATGAACCACATGCATGTGAAAATGTTGAATAGGAAACAAGAGAAAGCAATATAATGAGTGCACTAAACTTGTTGGAAGCCATTGTTAAGAATGTATACTAATGTGTTTCTTTCTTTGTTTTGTTTGTGTTTTGATGTTGAATTATGGGATGAGAACTAAAGGAGAGAATTGGACCATATTTATAGGAAACCATTTATGAGGTTCACTTATGTGGTCTAATATCTTAGTGGTTGTTGAAGACTATTAATTTGTTAAAAAGAAGTTGTTAAAGAATAAATCTGATTTAGTGAGATATTTTTTCAATTACACTTCTTTGTGAGTGGTGTTAATTTTTTTGTTCTTTTACTACATATCTAAAATGTTCAACAATAGAATATTACTTACATGTTTGTATTAAATTTATAAAAAGAAAAAATAAAAATAAAAGTAAGAGGAGGGTACCGGGGCACTAATATCCATCTTGACTCTATCTTTAAATCTCTTCCATTAATAATTTATAATATTTAATTTTAATAATTTAGAATACAAATTATTTAGTTAATAAATTAATATTTTAGTGTATATTTTATTATTTAAAAATATTTTTTAAACATTTTTTGGATTATTTTAACTTATTATTTTAATATTTGTTAGAATTCAAAATATATTATTATTTTGAGAAATAAATAAAATAAATTATTTAAATTTTAAAAAATTAATGTAGGGTTGAGGCGTTGGAAATATCCGAACGAGTTTAAGATAAATTTTGAGTTCTATTATTTATTTTCATTTGAATTTGGTAAGGAGAACTTCAATTTTCTTCTAAATCATATTTTCAAGAATATTTTTAGCCAATCACATGAAATTTACTTAATGCTCTTAAATTTAATTCTTCAAAAAAACAACTTAAAACTACAACCTCAAGAAACAATAGAACTAAACAAGTGAACACTAAAACTCCAACCATCAATGAGAACAAGCTAGATTAGAAGAAAATAAATCAGCATCAATTGAAGAGCGTCCTTCATAAACAGCTTAAGACTACCACCTCACAATAACATATCAAAATTAATGTTTAAAAATTGGACTGATGATCAAATTGATGGAGGTATTGGGTCTATGATTTATTAGTCGAACTATTAGATTATTAGTCGAATTATATGATTAAATCGAATAAAACTAGTCTCTATAACAAAATTATATATAATTATTAAATATACCGAATCGAATGATTTAGTCTCTAAAAAAATACGACACCTACAAAATTTTAAAATATTATAATTTTACAAATGTATTTTTTAAATTTAAATTATAAGCATAATCATCGCACACAATAAAATAGTAAAAAAAAATTCAAATAAATTTTACAAAGTATAATTGGAACATTGAATAATAAAATAATTGTATTATTTAATCAATTTAATTTTAAAGAAAGAAAATTATTCCAAATAAATTTTGAATAAAATTTACTTATATTTTAATTTTATTTACTTTTTAAAATTATCAACACGATATCTTTTTGTATGAGAAAAAGAAAAACATTTAACCTGTCAGATATCCAAAATGGTTGATATATCGATTTTTATTAATTTTGACCAGTTTTAATCGATTTCTACTGATTCAATAATTTATCTGATTCAAAAATAAACTCAAATTCATAATTCTTCCAATTTTCAATGCAATCCATTGGTGTGATCCAATTTTTAAAACACTAAACCATTATTGGCTTAACTTAGTAATTTAGAGTTCAGAAGAAATAATAAAAAGGACAAGGAATTTAATGCATATTGACAAGTTGTTTTTTGTTGACAAAAAGCGTATTGACAAGAAGTGATTGGGATGGGATATTCTGCAAGTTGTTTTCACCCAATTACAATCAAATTAAACTAGGGTATAGTGCTTGTTTTGTTTCATGCACGTTACTAGGTTGTTTGCATGAAATCAAAATAGGCAATCTTGTGACGAAAGCATGGACAAGAGCACATCCCTACAATTTTTATGTCGACAAGGTTCTGATTGTAGTAGCTATGGCAAGTTCAGACAGCATCTTTAGAAGTTGACAGATCACAGAGTCAATGTAAATGTTTGATTTTATTCTGTAAACAAAATTCAACATTTTTTATTATTTCTTTTCTTTACTTGTATATAGGGTAAGAGCATTTCAGTTAACCAGAATCCTTTAGAAGTTGACAGATCATAGAGTCAACGTAAAATATTATTTGATTATTGAAAGAAACTTGCAAAAATGATTTCTCTCTAGACGATTTTAGATCTATCTCTTTATCCGATGCATATGTACACTAGTGGCTAATGTTTTGGCATATAGACCAGCTTCAATAAAGGATAAAATAATTTCCTCCACGGTGGTTTTTGTTGATTTCTGAGAGTTTTTTTATAAAAAAGGATCACCTTATCATTAAAATGAATTTCGTAAAAGTGCATGATTATTGTTTTAATATAATTTAAATTCAAGTCATTTCAGTTTGCATTTCATTTGAGTTTTTTTTTTTTGAATTTGGGTATATATGTATTTTAATTTAATGTTAGTTGCATTTGTAACAGAATCGTAAATTTGAGTTTTTGAGAAGATTAGTTACGTTTTTCATTTTTTATCTCAATTATCTCTATTATTTCTTCATTTTTCATCTTTTTCATTCTTGTGCAACAATGGAGTAAAGTGTTAACTTCAATAATTGATATCTAGAGTTCCGACTCTGATTCACAAGAAAACACAAGTGTAGTATGGTGTGTGATTAATTTCGTTTCTCAAATTCGCATTGAATTGAAGATCGAAATTGAAGAGAATCACAAATCTTGATTCTCAGGGTTTGGGAAACACGGGTGTTGGTGAAAACTGAATGATTTTCACAAGAATAAAAATGAACGGTGGAAACGGTAGCTTGAACATAAAGCTTCTAATATTCAACAAAAAGAATTGGAATCAGTGGTCAATTAGATGCATGTGTTGTTTGGTGCTCAAGATGTTCTTGATCTCGTTAATTACGGTTATACGGAGGTTGCAGAAAATGAAAATGAAGCACAAAGAAATGTGTAGCATGAAACGATGAAGAAGGATTAGAAGGGATTATTCTATATCCATCAGTGTGTGGATATGAATGTGTTTGAGAAGATTGTTATTTCGACAATGGCGAAGGAGGCGTGAGAAACACTTGTGTGGTGATATGATGATGACGCATCAGTAAAGAAAGTAAAGTTGAAATCCCTATGCAAGCAATATGAGAATCTCAGCATGAAGAACAATGAGAAGGTGTCTGATTACATCTCCAGAGTGATTGTGGTTACGAATGAGATGAAGTCTTGTGGAGAAATGCTCTATGAACAAGTAATCAATAAAAATGTATTAAGATCACTTAATCCTCAATTTAATTACATAGTTGTAGCCATAGAAAAATCTATAGACACCAGCACCATGAGAATTGAAGAGCTTCGAAGTAGTTTAGAGGCACAAGAGTTGCGTCTGACTTGAAGAAACTGTGAAAGGAAGACAAAACAAGCTCTGAAAGCTCAGATCTGAAAACTTCTTTTGTCAAGAAGAACCAATAGCAACCATGGCTAGAAAATAAGAAAAGGTATGGTGGTGGTTTTCAAAAACCAGTACTCTCTGATTCAGATGAGAAGAAACATAAGAATGCTTAGATAGGAAAGAAGAAGTTTGATAAGAGAAAGGTTCAGGGCTAGTTGCAACAAGTTTGATCATTTTGTTATTAATTACTAGTCAAACAAAGTTAGCAAGGGTGAAGAAGTCAACATAGCCAGAGGAGATTCTGATGATGAACATGTGCCATTGATGGCATCTGAGAATGTAGGTGAAACAATAGTAGAATAATGGTATATGAACACTGGCTGCTCAAATCACATATCTGGAAATAAGTAATGACTGGTTGATTTTGACTCTGGTAAAAAGAATAATATCAGATGTGATGATGATGTTATCTGAATGTTGAAGGAATGAGAAATTTCAGAGTAAATTAAAAAATGGCAATATTGTACTAATAAAGGATGTATGGTGTGTTCATGGCATGAATATCAATCTACTGAGTGTAGGTCAGCTGATTGAAAAAGGTTTTTTAGTAACCATGAATGACAATCTCTTGAAGTTGTATGGTTGTAATCAAAAGCTGATTATGCAGTATAAACTAGGAAGAAACAGGAAATTCAAGGTGAATGTTGCAATAGTAGACCCTCAATTCCTTAGTGCTAAAAGTGTTGAAGGGAAAAGTGAGATGTGACACAAGAGATTGGGACATCTGAACTACAAAAGCTTAGGGCATCCGAGTTCAAAGAATCTAATACATGGAATTCAAAAGAATATGGCAGCAGAGAAAGCTTGGACGATTGGTTAACACTTCAAGTACATTCCTTGAATCTTTTATAGTTGGTCGAAACTTCTAAAAATCATTGTCAATAGTCACATGACTGCCTTCATTTTCTTTTTACAATGACCTTGGAAGACTAGGTCACTAGAGGATGCTTTTGTTTTCTTTTCATAATAATTTCTAACATATTGTAGTGTTAATGCATGACCTTTAAATTAGGATCAATCTGGAAACATCCTTAAAGAAATAATGTCACAAACATACTGCACATATCCCAGAAAAATTGTTAGTTCAATCCCAGATGAATCAAAACCTAGAGAATATCTTAAGTGTAATTAATGCCTTGAAGAATATTCTAGTAAAGTTTTACTTTGAATTTATCTATGTAATACATTGCAATGAATAATAAAAAAAATTAAATCAATATATTTTTATTAGGATTCATTGAATTTCATAAGCTTCATAAACGTTTGCGAAAACTCTTCTAGGATCGAA